GTGGGCATATTTTAAATTCACAGGCTAAAATGTTTGCTTTTTATTTTAAGGCACCACCATAATTTTGTTGTTGTTGTTGTTGTTGTTTTCTCCTAGGCTCCAGTATAAAGAATATCTTCCATTTAGTTTCTCCGTCCATTTTCCATTCCAGATGGATGCACAGCTAAAGTGCATGCTCTCTAAGGTGTCAGGGGGTGATGTATTTGCTTCTTACCGATTTCTCACCTACCATCCTCACCCCAGCTTGCACAGGAAGCCTGGTTTATCCTCAAGCTGGCTACTGACAAGGCTAGAGCAGCCGCCACAGGTCTGAGCTTACTGGAAGCTAGCCGGAGCAGGGAGATCTTCAGGGCTGTTGACAGTCAGTCTAATACAAAGGCTGTTTTGAGAAATGTGACAACTCAGACAGATGGAGTCCATGCTGGCCACGCTGGGAAACACAGATCTTGTGGTTGGTGCTATTCAGCATTAATCAAAGGGCAGACTTGAATGGGGTAGAGAAAGTTCCATCCATCACGACTCCTGTCAGTGAGACGATGCCATTTGTTTGGAAGAGGCTCTCTGTTAGTTCCTTGGAGTGGCATATGTGTGCAGATGAACTGATGCTCTTGAGACAACCAAGGGAGATTTGTCCTGCTGTGTGTGGGTGGCTGGAGCAATGGGACCAAGAAGATAAAGAAAGCTGGAGAGGTGGCTCAGAGGTTAAGAGCTTTAACTACTCTTCCAGAGGTCCTGAGTTCAATTCCCAGTAACCACATGTTGGCTTACAACCATCTATAATGAGATCTGGTACCCTCTTAATGGCATGAAGGCATACATGCAGGCAGAATACTGTGTACATAATAAATAAATAAATCTTAAAAAAGAAAAAAAGCTGTGTCTCTTCACACCCATAAAACTATGAATCTACCCCACATGTTTAAAGGGCTCTATCAAGACCAAAGCTGTCAGGTGTGGGGCTGGGTGAACGCCTATAATCCCAATGCTAGGGAGCAAAGACAGGAGGATCCGTGAAGCTTGCTGACTAGGCAGCCTAAACAATCAGCTCCAGTCTTTAAAAAAAAAAAAAAGGTAGAGAAGTGATGAAGACACCCCCCCCCCCATATCAATGGAGACTCCTGGCTTCCATACACATACATGTGCATTTGTACCTCCACACATGTACGCGCACGCACATGTGCATGCATTCACACACACACACACACACACACACACACACACACACACACACACACACAGAGGAATGCCATGTGTACATGGAATTCTACAGACTGTGAAAGGAGCCACCTTCTGGGTTAAGATAGCAACAATCCCCCAAAATGCAGGAGTTCCAAGTGCAGAATAGAGCAGAATGCCCAAGAATTGTGGTGACAACTTTGGGTTTTCCCAAGCATGAAATCTGCCGCTATCTACTGGATTTTAGCTAGCTCTTTTAAGAGGAAAAGAGACACAGATTCAGTGAATGTGTTGTGGACTGTTAGAGCTCCACACACCCAGATAACACTCTATCCATTGCTTCTCAACCTGAAGCTTGGCACCAAGGTTAAAAAAAAAAAGTCAGCAGCAGGGCAAGCAGGGGAAGCATTTGATCAGACTGTCATCACAACAGGCTGGCTGTCCATCGCCTGACAACTGGATCAGAACATGGGGCTCCCATTTCCAGGAACAAGAGTGGTCCATGATGTGAGCATTTCATCCTTGCCCAAATCCATGGGGAAGCTGGGATGCTTCCAAAAGACCAGCCTCATGATTGATTTTCTCCGTTCTTCTAAAAGTTTATTTCCACCTACACATAAACCCCTTTGTATATTCCTTCCAAAACACAAACGACACCATTTGCCACACAATCCCACCATTTCTTCTGCTCTCATTCACATAGAAGCTCTTGAAAGTTAGCCCTAGCTGATGTAGCAGTAGGCTAGCTGGCTTTGACCTACTTCATCTGTGCCTCTACCCCAGTAGTACCCCGAAAAGGGTTCTATCAAGGTCACCCAGGACTTCTGTGTGCCCAGAGCCAATGGCCACTCCTGTTCTCACTTGACCAATGTCATCTAGCAGATCTCAGCCTAGACAGTTACACAGTTCCCTCCCAACACTCTTCTTTTTCTTCTCTCTGCTCTGCTTTTTTTCTTGCTCCAAAGGCAAACTGGATACATTTGCTCTCCCTGGACCCCTTAGAGTCAGGGCAACCTTAGCTCAGTCCTGGCAGCCCTCTCTTCCACTTCTAGACCTGAATTTCTGTTTTTTCTTTCTTCCTTCCTTCCTTTTTTTTTTTTTTTTTTTTTGAGACAGGGTTTCTCTGTGTAGTTTTGGTGCCTGTCCTGAATCTCGCTCTGTAGACCAGGCTGGCCTCGAACTCACAGAGATCCGCCTGCCTCTGCTCCCGAGTACTGGGATTAAAGGTGCGCGCTGCCACCACTCGGCATGTGTCCCATTTTATTTCAAACTGAGATCTCCTTAATCTATAACTTGATCTGTGGACATGGTATATTTACTTAGTGACTTAATGGGAAGCCATTTAAGATGTCCTCTTTTCTGTGGATTCCACTCTTGGGCTCCATTTCTGCAAATGATTTCTCCATTCAATGAAGAACTCCAGCCAAAAACCTAAGTGTCAACCCTTATTTACATTCTTTTCTTCTCATACCACATCACACACACCCACTTAGACCATTACCTTAGCCCAGGCCACGAGGATCAGCTATATAATTAGACTACCTCATCAGCCAACCCCTCCCCCAACCTCAAGTGTCCTTTTGGCTACAACCAATCTCTGGTTTAGGCTCATCATTGCACCTACAAGTATCTGTCTTTGACTTCTGCATATTTAATGTCTAATCACTGTATCCTTTTCGAATTAAAAAAAATGGGTGTGCCACAAAAATTGAGATTTCACGGGGCTGGACCCCATTGTAGAGACCCTTACAGAGAGCCTTCACACAAGTTAGAAACATTACACAGTGTTCAAATGTGCTGACAATTTAAAAATTACAAAATGAAAGCCACCAAAAGCCAAAACTTTCTCTCATCCTGATCAAGGAGTTAACGGATGAGGGAAAAGGTGGTCACCAAGGAGACAGCATGAGATGCACACTTGTTCCTAAGACAGGAGCTCTCAAGGTCACATTCAGGATGCTCCTAGTGGTCTTTGAGGACAAGGTTCACTCCTGGACTCACTGTATTTTAAAAACGGGAATACTAGCATTGGGGATTTAGCTCGGTGGCTTAGTGCTTGCCTGGCTACATGAAGGTTTAAGCCTCAGCTCTGAAAAAAAAAAAACAAGATTCACAGTAGGGTTTTAAAATGTAGGCCCTCGATGGCCTTAGCTTCAATGTGCCTCAGTTTCCCCATCTTCAAAGCAGAAATAAGTACTCACCCCAAGGACCGAAGAGAGGGTTGTCAATAATGCGTCTAACACACTCCGGGCAGTGCCCAGCCTTCTCAGGAGAGGGTGATTCTCCAAGGTTCTCCCCCTCTTCGTTGCCACTCCAGACTTCTGGATCATCATCGAGCCTTGGCTGTTCTCCTGCTCTTCCGGTACAGTGGAAGACCCCAATCTCCACACGGAGGGTGGCAGTAGAGGCTGTGGTCATTCCACCTACTGAATTCTCCTATGGCCCTAAAAGCCTACAGCCTTCGGTTTGCCACACCCTGAAACACAGAGAACAGCAACCTCTGCTTAATCAACACTGGATGCCTCTCTGTGATCCTAAAGTGGGCCCACTACTTCCATAGGGTTCCTCGGAAATGCTCTGCTGGCCGGAGAAATGACGGTTTAGGGTAAGCACGGACAAATTGGCTTGTCTCTAGCTAAAACTATTAATGCCGAAGCTTTAGCATTCTTGTGTAGACACAGTCATTGTGGAATTCGGGTTTTATGTTCTCTAAGAGAATGTCATGAATAAATCAATTTGGCTGGGCGGAAAAAAAACCTGTCCCAAGACTTTTTCAACAGAGGCAGATGCAATAAAATTGTAGCACTAATGGCTAGAAAAATAATTTTCATGAGGATAGAAAATAGACTAAAAGTGGCAACCCTTAGGACACATAAAATCAAATTACAATACAATATATTGGGATGCTGGGCTGATTTTGAGTCTGGCCGAACTAACTCCCATGGAGACTGACTTGCAGAGAACAAATTGAAACTGTTTTTAAAGCAACAACCATATAGAAACTCTGAGATCCCAAATTGGTGTTCCAGCCCAATTTCACCACATTCTATGTTCCTGGCTACTGTCCCAGTGATCCAGTTATCAATAGGAAGATACAGGCTGGATGCATGGAATGCTATAAAGGATTGATTGTGTCCTGACTAGATTTATTTCTTTATTATTTTATTTTATTTTGTCAACTTGACACAAGCCATGGTCATCTAGGAAGAAGACACTTCAGTTGAGAAAATACTTCATTAGACAGCACATCAAGTCTGTAAGGGCATTTTCTTGATTAATGACTGACATGGGAGGTCTAGTCCACTTCCAGCAGTGCCATCCCTGGGCAGGAGGTTCTGGGTTGTATAAGAAAGTACACTGAACAAGTCATGGGCGGCAAGCTGGTAAGCAGCACTCCCCCATGGCTTCTGTTTCAGTTTCTGCTCCAAGTTCCAGCCTCGGCTTCCCTGAGTGGACCGTGACCTGGGATGTGTTAGCCAAAATAAAACCTTTGCTCACCAAGCTGCTTTTGGTTATGGTGTTTCTCACAGCCACAGGAAGCAAACTAAGACAGACAGCCTTTAAAATTTTTATATTCTTACAATGTTGTGATACAGAGAGCAAATGAGAAAAAAAACCCTACATATTTTTCTCTCTCCCTAAAAAGCACACCAATGTTCTGTTAGAACAACGAAAACAAACAAGCCAACCCCCCAAATTTCAAACACCCAACCCAGCCAGGATTTTCAGTGAGGTGTGAAGGGGGAACTCAATACACCGCCTTTGACTCAGTATAGGAAGATGTTCCCCGCGAGCAGAAATAACATTTACACACAAAGCCGGAGCGTGTTTGAAATCTTTTATTAAACAGGCAATGCATTGTGCAATGGTTCAGGACACAGATGCCTAGTGGAAAAGTTTAAAAATTATTTTTGGAAACAGTCTATGAGTTGACAAACCCTGTCACGTCCCATCCTCCCCTGCTCAAGGGTGGATAGCTTCAGGAAACCAGACTGTTCCGTAGCTGCTCTTGTAAACGACATCCCTGCTTTCCCATAAACATCATGCCTATTAGTAAACACAAAAGACGACGATGGTCCACGGCAAGACAGTGGCCAGAGGCACTGGCTGATGACAAGGGACAGCCCAGACCTAGAACTCATAAGAAGTTCCAGTTCTGTTCTTAAAGGACATCCAACATTCACCTCTCTTCACTTCCATTCGCTGGCTATTGGGGCCTCTTTAGAAAGTGGATGCTGAAGGCTCACACTGGTACCTCAGCACAGGAAGGAGCTTTTACAGGGTTCCTCCTGCTGCAGCCCCTCTGGCTCAGGACTGAGGCTCTCTTGTCTTCTTTGATCCACCTGGTTCCTCTCTCTTCCCCGAGCACATCATAATTCGATGACAAAAATCAATCTGAAGTTTCACAGTCTGTTTGCCGTGATTTATTGGCAGTTTAAAACTAAGTGGCCCGTCAATGCAGTGGACATCCTTCATCAGCAGGCTGCCAATCTATTTTATGATTTGGGGCATGTCGCTCCAAGCTTGCGATTTCTTCCTGGCGAGTTCCATCCAGGACGGCTGATCTGAACTCGCATAACTGGCTCTCTTCAGCTGATGCAACTCCTTCTCTGTCATCGCTGCAGCCTGAGCTGCTGAAAAGGACACAAAACAAGAGACAAGAGTGTGGATTTTCACTAAGTCCCTTGAACAGCTTTAAATACACGTTACAGGCTCCACTGTGTTCCAGAACACACAATCCGTTAATACGGAAATGTGTGAAGATTTAAGCATCAGGGATGGAGTGTAGCGGATTGAAAAGGCTGAGGAGCAGGCTTGGATGGTTGTGGAAGCCAAGTGAGTTGAGAATGTTCAGGGTCTAACCACAGAGCCCTGGAGGTAGGCTGCACACTGGAACAAGCCTAATACTGTCACAACCACACACTTAAAAGACAGCTTGGAAAGTTAGATTCTTGAGTCTACAGTGCAAAACAAATAAAATTTAGAAACTATTGGGGTGTCGTTCGGTGACAGAGCATATGATCAGTGTGCAGGAGACCCTGGGCTCATTGCCCAGCAGCATGAAAAGTGAAAACTGACACATGCTACCAGAGTGAGCTCAGAATCACATTCAAAAACAGCAGAGAAAAGGGCCCGTGTTTTATGATTTCATGTTCCCAAAAAGGCAAATCTTATAGAGACATAAGGTAGGCTAGTGTTTACCTACAACCAGGGAAGGGAATGTGACAAATGGGGATGAGTTTCTTTCCAGTGTGAGGGGAATGTTCTATTCTTAGGTTGCCACCAGGGTGGCAGGACTCAAAAAATATACATAGTCTCATTGTAAGACACATCCACTGAAATGTACATTTAAAACGGGTGAATTTTAAGATGTGTGAATTTCATCTCAATAAAAGCTCCATTTAAAAAAAAAAAACAAACAGCTCGACATAGTAAAACGATTCAACAAAACAAACTCCAGCTGCAGGAAGAATTTGGTTATAATGACAGCAAAGTGTTTGGAAATGCATGCCAATCTCATACCCAAGTTCTGGTGGGACAGTGAGATTCCTCTCTGTAGTCCCTCCTTGAGGCTCAACTTTGATCCCTGCCTCTGGGTCACAGGAGGCTTTGCAGGGGTCATTAGGAAAGATTTGCTTCGGACAAAGTCACCCTGCTTCACAGGCTCCTATGGAGACACAAGACAGACACACACGCTGCCCAACTATACAGACTCAGAGGGGCAGACACCCAAAATGACTTAGCTACAAGATGTCTCTCTCAAGATGAATCATGCTGCTGGCACTTTCTGGAAAGGGCGCCATGCACCAGCTCGCCGATGCTACCCATCAAAATGCCAGAGCTCTGACTTGTACCAGCCCCTTCCAGCCCACATGCTCACGGTGGCTCCTTCCTTGTACCTACAACATCGCCTCAGCCCCAGATGATGGACAGCAAGGATTCTATGTGAAAGCCAAACAAATGTGGTTTGGAAATAGCGTTGTGGCTTTCTGACACATGGTGAAATGGCACAGGCCGAAACGGGCTAACATTTCCTTCTTTAACTTCCTTTCCCCTGAACTACATAGAGGTCTGCAGCCGTGGCTACAACTAAGGATTGCATTAGCAGGAAGGGAAACAGGTCCTACTGCAGTGCAGGTTCCCTTTCCCGTACAGCAGAACCCCGTTTATCCTGCTGCTGAGTGGAGGGATACAGAAGCCGAGTCACGCCTGCTTCGGAGCACAGTTGCTTGGGTTGATGAAAGCTGTTTTCAGCTGAATGCAGAATGCAACCCTGGGTTTCAGCTGTGCAGCCCCAGGTGAGGAATAAGGGAACCCAGCAGGCAGCAGCAGCAACAGGGGTCATTTATCACTGCACAATGAGCTGAGATGGATCTGGTGACAGTGTCACCACGTGTCTAAGGGGAGACGTCATTTTAACTGTCTTCAATTTTTCCAGAGGCTGAGCTGCGTTGCCTAGGAGGCCAGAGCACAGCGCTGTCTCCACAGTCTTCATAACAGCCCACACAGGCAAAGAACGGGCAGATTGCTGCGCTATGGGGGCTAGAAGCTGACATACCGACTTGGTCTCACTGGTACTCAAGCGTGTGTCAGCAGTCACCATAGGCACGGGCTCTGTGATGTTCACGCAGGATCTCTGCGATCACCGCAGTGCCTGCCCCCACCACACCCTGCCAAGATCCCCCACTGAACTCCACAGAAACAGTGTTTGCTCTCAGCACCTGGGTTTGCTTTCCAGTTTCTGTCTTCAGGATCCGTGACCCAGACTTGTCTTCCTGGTTGACGGGCAGGTCTGGGGCTCCTCTTCGCTTCTGCCGGGCCATGGTGATCCAGGGTGGGGTGGGTTGCCCACCAGCCCCAGGACCTGTAGCAGCAGGAGGCTGAGCCTTTTCTGTGATAGAGGCAGTAAGGGAGCAAGGTTAGGTACACAGTCTCACCCCCCCAACTTCTCTCCCACACAAGGAGTTCTGTATTGCCTTGGCTCAGGGAGCAAGAGGAGGTGGGGTTGAGGGGTGGAGTCTAGGCGAGACCCCACTTTCCCTTACTCCCTGAGCCAAAGCCTCTCTGATGACGTTATTTCTCTTCTTCGGCAGACTTTAGTTTTTCTAAAGATGCCTCAAAGAGATTATCTCCTCCGGTCTGAGCCACCAAAAAAAATATATATGTAACTGCCACCTCAACATGCATTTTAAAGCGATTTCTACCAGAGCACTCTGTCTAGAAAGAGATAGAATGTGTGCACAGATAAGCTGTCTTTGACAGTCTTCATTTGGGACCAGCGCCCTAACAACATTCCCTTTGCGGGATGTGATGCCATGTCTAAAATCATTTCATGCTTCATTCCTTACCCAGAGGCCCGTTATCACCTGACACAGGAAATGCTAGGTGCCCACATGTTTAACAGACTGTATTTCTCTCCTGCTTTCCACAAAGTCTTTAGAGGCTCACTGAGATTTTCTTTTTTCTTAAAGGGTTCTCTTTGCTCTCTCCTAGCATTTCTTTACCCTTAGTGATCAGGAGTTCCCTATGAACTCTCTTCTCAAGGGTCCCGTCCCCCCCCCCGTCCCCCCCCCCCCCCCCGCCCCCGCGTCCTATCCCATGGTGTGCTGGCTCGAGGCAGCTGCCTCAGTTGGAAATAGATGAAAATTTCTCTCTGGGTTTGAACTTAATTCTCTCAGTTGACAATATATTCGGAAACAGTTCTGATTAAGACTAAATTCACAACCAGAAGAACTTGCCATTCCAGTTTCAGATCAGAGGTAGAGAAGTAACTTGCTGAGGGCCCGGGCAGCCTCAGCAGATCTAGTGTGTTCCTGGTCTCCCTGCACTCCGGGCACCTCTTAGCCCAAAGGCACACGTTCTGGCAAAGTCTTTATGCCATACGCACTTGAATAATTTCATTCGAGCTAAAAGATTTTTAGATTTTGATCTAAATTTTTTTTTTTTTTTTTTTTTTTTTGGTTTTTCGAGACAGGGTTTCTCTGTGTAGCTTTGCGCCTTTCCTGGAACTCGCTTTGGAGACCAGGCTGGCCTCGAACTCACAGAGATCCACCTGGCTCTGCCTCCCGAGTGCTGGGATTAAAGGCATGCGCCACCACTGCCCGGCTGATCTAAATTTTTCAAACTGAGCATGAAGGGGGTTGGGCGGATAAGCGGTTAAGAACACTGGCTGCTCTTCCAGAGGACCCACAGGTGACTTACAACCATCTGTAACTCCAATTCCAGGGGTTATGACACCCTCTTTGGCCTCTGCAGGCATATATGGGGTATATAGATAAACATGCATGCAAAACACTTGTACACATAAAGCAAATAAATAAATAAATAAATAAATAAATAAATAAATAAATAAATAAATAAATAAAAGAAATGAACAGAAAAGTTATATGGAACAGCATGTAAGGGAATTGGTATAAGAGGAGGCCACTGAGGGAAGCTGGGACTCTGGGGCTGGATCAAAGGACGGGGCCTAGTGGACTAGACCCAAGGCTGACATCTCAGGGGGACTGTGACAACTCCTATTTTCTTCCCCAGTCTTTGCATGGAAACTGTGGTCTTGTACACAAAGCAACGACATCAAGCTTGGCGGGGAGCAATTTTTCCTTTCCCTGTATCAGGGTGTGCTGACAGAATTCTATTCTGAGCACAGAGGGGTCACCCACCGGAGCTGCCTGTCTGTAGGGTGGCAATGTTTCCAACTGCACGGTTGTGTGCCCATGTATCTCCGTTCACATGCCGACCCTCAGGAGTCGGTGAACCCTGCGGCTGCACCTGGCTGTGCCAGGATGAGACAGGTGACCTACTCAGGCAGCGCCACTAAGCACTGACCTGGGCAAGTGGCCAAGATCTCTCAGGAGCCATTTCATTCCCTTCTTGATTCTGAGATGTCCCCCAACGTGGACACTTCCCACGATGCCGAGCCTCAGAAACGTTGCGTCTCTGTCCCAAGTAAGTCTGGGCAGAGCTGGGTGACGGCCATTCTGCTCTGTGACACAGGTCTGAGTGACCTCCATGGCCTGCACCCCACTCTCTGCACTCGACAGCCACATTGGCTGGGTCTGTGCTCTACCTGGGCTGGGGAGGGCTAGAGAGGGGAATGAAGACACGGGCCACAGACAGCATACGGAAGCCTTCAGGGGCCAAAGCGCTTGTAAGTCACAGCTCAAAGCATGACCTCTCAGGGTCAAGGTTGCATCATCAAATCTCTTCTGGGATTAAAATCTGTTCAAAAGGTCAGTCCCAAGAAAACATAGATGTGGTGTCAGTTCAAATAAAACACTCCTTTGTTTATCTTTCTGCCTCAACAGACAGGCCTTAATTTCCTGGGGATTTGGTTCAAGGCCTCTGACACCTCAGCTCCTTTTCCCTGAATGACAAGGGCTTTAGGTTGTCAAGTAGGTCTGCAGTCAATGCCCCCGGAGCTGAGCATTTCTTTGACTGAGGACCAGAAACCGCATGTTGGAATTTGTGCGATCCCTTTGCTGGGGGTCTGGGAGAGGCTGACTCCCCACACACAGCTGCCAGGGAAGGGAGCAAGACAATCTGCCTTAGAACAAACCCAGACCAACACTTCCAGATGCTGAAGTGCTGCACGTGTGGGGAGCCGGAGGGCTCCCCGGCTCACCCCAGACAACCCGAATGCAAGGGAGAACAACTTCTGAACGGAGGAAATTATCATTCTGTGATTTAAGGACAGGATTCCATCAAAGGAGCAGTTGATAAATTGGTTCTTTTTTTTCAAAATCCCTTCCTCCCCATTTACATACTCTCTTCCCTTAAGATCTATTTGGGGAAATATGTGTAAAGCACTAATCCTCAAGACAGCCTGTCCTGGGGCTGGGTGGAAGGCCTCAGACTAGCAATACGCTTCTGGGCAGACAAACCCCCTTAAAGTGGGTGTAAGTGCGGGTGTAAAAATTCTGCAAGACAACCTGCCAGCTACACCTCCCAGATTCAAAGAGGTTCAGTGAAGTCATCCTCCCGCTCCCCCAGGCCCCAGCACAGCGCCGGCCACCTGCCAGCTGCTCTCCCTTCCAGTGTGTGCTCAAGAGTTACTCTGTTGCTGCCGGCAAATAAATAAATAAATAAAACAAGCATTTTATTGATTTCTGTTTCCTAATCTCTTTTGAAAAATGGGGAAACTAAGGCAGAGGCTTATGGACCCAGTGTCTCCTAACATTGTAGCGGAGCTGTCTGTTACCTAGAAGATCTGTAAGAATCGACTTCCCCAAGTCCTAACCACTGAGCCATTCCTGCGATGTCCTACCTACAGACGGCAACACTGTCTCTCACTTTGATTCGCTCCTTTTTCTTGGGTTTTGGTGCCTATTAAAATTCAGACGTAAGCCGGGCGGTGGTGGCGCACGCCTTTAATCCCAGCACTCGGGAGGCAGAGCCAGGCGGATCTCTGTGAGTTCGAGGCCAGCCTGGGCTACCAAGTGAGTCCCAGGAAAGGCACAAAGCTACACAGAGAAACCCTGTCTCGAAAAACCAAAAAAAAAAAAAAAAAAAAAAAAAAAAAAAAATTCAGACGTAAGGTACTGTTTTGTTTTGTTGTTTGTTTGTGTTTTGTTTTTCCAGAAAGAATCCTTGAAGTGACCAGCTGAGGGGCCAGGGGTGAAACGTGAATGGTGGGCACCACCCCACATGACACCCGGCCGGAAGTTGAGCCTGGAAGCTTACAGCTGTCAAGAACACAGTTGTGGATAGGAAGCCATGAGCTGGAGTTCGTGAACTCCAGGGACTCCCTGCCTCTTTGGCTGAGAAAATGAGGCAGATGTTCTCGGCAAACTTGAAACAGGATGGTGTCTTCACTTCTTAAAAACTTGGTGTATGCTCTCCTCCTTGAAGCAACAATCTGCATGTATGTGTGTGAGCGTGTGGTTGAGTGCATGTATATACAAGTTCATGTGTGTGTGTGTGTGTGTGTGTGTGTGTGTGTGTGTGTGTGTGTGTGCAAGTTCACGAGTATGTATGCACATAAAGGCCAGGGGTTGACATCAAGTGTCTTCCTAAATCTCTATGCACCTTACTTTTTGAAACAGGGTCACTCACCTAACCTGAAGCTCACTGATACACTGGACTGACTGGCCAGGAAGCCCCGGAGTCCTCCAACCCCCAGTGCTGGGATAATAGACAAATGAGTGTTGGGGATTCAGTTCAAGTTCCCATGCTTGTGAAGTAAATACTTTAACTGACGGAAGTCATCTTCCCAGGTTCTAAACTGTCATTGTAAAAATGTATATCCACAGCTCATTCCCAGGTTTAAAAACCATCTCCAGCAAGAAGAGGCCTGAGAGTCTCACTAAGACCTCTGATCTAAAGTGGATGTATTATCAACCATGTCTCTCAAGTGGTTGAAGCCAGAACAGGGGACGGTGCCTTCGTACCTGCATAAACCCTGCTCAGTCCTGTCTGCTGGCTTTTCAGGTCTCCAGCTATAGTCCTGATCTACATGATGGGCATGGGACCTACAGACAGGTGCTAAGGGGACCTCCAGAGCAGACATGGACCTTGTGTCCCGGGAATATATAGGATCTTGTGTTTACTTCAGGGTTTATATTGGGTTTCCTGTACGAAGGACTTCAGCTCTGTGTAGCAGGAATCTTAAAGAGTCTTATTAATAAAAACAAACCCAGCCGGGCGGTGGTGGCGCATGCCTTTAATCCCAGCACTCGGGAGGCAGAGCCAGGCGGATCTCTGTGAGTTCGAGGCCAGCCTGGTCTCCAAAGCGAGTTCCAGGAAAGGCGCAAAGCTACATAGAAAAACCCTGTCTCGAAAAACCAAAAAAAAAAAAACAAAAAAAAAAAAAAAAAAAAAACCCAAGGCCAGTTATTGGGGTGAATGCTGAAAGATCAGAGAAACAGAACAGGCCACAGCCACCTCACCTTG